ATTTCTGCAAATGATAAGTTGTGATAAGAAGACATCCTTTAGTAAGGCATCCCTGCTTAAAATGTTTATGCTTCCTGAGGAAGACATGAGGTGGTTGAGGCAGAGAACTGGACCTTGCTAAAGTGATAACTCGAGAGTAAATTAGACCAGCTATAATGATAACCAAGGATCTTTAGGATCAAGCCTAGAAGCTGCTGGTTTGAAGGGTCAGAGGTGAGAGTATAGCTGAGAGTAAGCTCAAGTCAAAAAATTAGAATATTTAGAGGCGGATGCTCAGTCAGAATCATGCAGTTGGTGAAATTCTGAAAGATGGCCAACAGTCCAGGGAAGGAGAGACAAAGGGCAGTCATCTAAATGACTTCAAGTTGCTTAGATTCAGAAGCTAAGTTTGAAGCAGCAGTTATGAGGCCTGTTAGTTCCCCAGATTGCTTGGTCTGGCTGGGACGATTATTATCTTAGTGATACCGAAGTGCAGAGGTAGAAAGCAACATCCTTCCTCCTGCTCCCTCCTGGCATTGCCAACCTCCACCCAGATGCGGCTCAATCCCAGCAACTGAATTCTGGGGCTGTGGACAGGGATGAAACTCCCTCCCAGCCTAGATACTGCTGCACACTGCCCCAACATGCATTCGGAGCTAGGATTTGTCTCCCTGCCATTTGCTCCTTCAAATAGCTCAGTACCTCTAGCCTAGAAATAGACTTACATCTCTATGCGCAGAGTTGTGCATGATGAATATTCACTCCATCACCTCTTTTTGTTTTCTCCACTGGGAAAGCTCTTGGGTAATGGCAGAGATCCTCCAGCAGCTGCAGCCTTTCTTCCATCTGCAGACAGTTCAAAGCTATAATGATGGCGAGCCTGTAGCTGATAAGGAGAATATTCTCCATTTAGGCTTGGCTTGCACAGAGTAAATTGAAGGGAAAAATGATTAAATTTCTCTGTAGTTCCGTAGTGGTGGTGGTGAGGAGAAATTGCCCATCATTTGCCTTCTGTATTTTAGATGCATCACAACAAGATTAATGTTCAATCTCGGAACCCCTTCATGTTTTAGAGAGGCATTATTATCTGCTCTCCTTGCTGTTCCTTTTAATTCATTTTTGAGAACGTATTCTCCACTGTGAATTCTGTTGCCCTTTGGTCCTGAGCAGGTCTGCTTACAGTACTTGGGAGAATCATGAGCTGGAGTTCTCCTGTTAATAGTATTTCTCTTTATGTTTACATTCTGTCGCTTATACTGAGGTGTTTTGCACATCAGATGGCTTTAAAAGAGGAATCAACAAATCCATGGAGGATAAGGCTATGTTTTAGCTCTTGTGTCAAAGGCAGTATGTCTCTGATTACCAGTTGCTAGGAATCACAAGTGGGGAGAGTACTATTGTGTTCATGTTCTGTATGTGGGCATCTGCTCTTGTTGGTCAGTTTGAGAACAGGATGCTGAACTAGGTTGGCCTTTTGCCTAATCCAACAGAGCTTTTATTATGTTCTTACTACAACATCCTTATGCAATGCTGGATTTCAAGCATCCTGGTACCATATCCCCTCAGATTTCAGTGGATTTCTGATTTCTTGAGGTGGAAATTTAAAGAGTGAAGTGTTGGGCATGGACTCTTCGGTGACCTAACTATGCCAGCTCCAGGAAGTTGGAAGACTTTAAGTATTCTTTCCTTAGGTTGTAAATTCAGAGCTGGGAATTCAGTTCAGATTTTTTTAAAAAATCTCTTTCTGTTGACATCTCTTTTTAGGAACAACGCAATTCAATGTGCCTAGAATGTAGATGTCCTGTTAGGTAGGATTTTGGAAAGGTGGTGAAGATCTTTGTAACAGAAAAGACAGCTAGGAAGTAATAAGATCAACAGCAATACAGCACAGGGTGTTAAATATGGAGTTAGCAGTCTAAATCTTGCCCCAGGGATTTCCCTGAAAATGGCAATACCGCTTAGCGGAATTAACAATGGCTGCAATATAGCAATCATGCCTTTGTCTCTTCTCACTTTCCATTGACAAGTTTCAGGCTTATTGCTCTCCTAGGGAACCCTGAACACTTGATTAACTTTACTCACTAGTTCATGACACAGTGAGCTGAACCTTCCACTCTAATTATCAACTATCATTAATCTACCCCTTTCCTACTCCATCCTCATTCATTCTGGAAGCATCAAGCAACTATAGATTTTTAAGGCAATGTAAAGCCAATGTTTTCTTCCTCGAGTTTCAGATGTCAAAGATTGTGAGCTTCTGCATTACACAAGGAAGTATCGTTTTGCGGTAGATTTAAAGTCTGTTATGCTAGAAATCAAGCCACATTTTTGCAAATACTTGGCCTTGAGGAGGAGCCCAAACCAGCAGAAATGTTATCCAAGTGGGAATGGGAGCAGGAGCCCATTTCAGTCTGGGTTCAGGCCTGATTTTAGGACTGAATCAGGCTTTAAACTTATGACTTCTCTGTAGCTGGAATCTAGACTACAGAACACAGGTAAGAGTCACACTTTCTGCGCATGGGCATGTCCAGTTTTGCCTTTGCATCTGCCCACCTGTGGCATGTAGCCCATGGAAGATTTCTATGAGGAATGTGGCCCTCAGTTTGGAAAAGGTCCCTCACCCCTGGTTAAGAGCCCTGGTTCAAATCTTAGCTGAGTCGCAAAGTCACTGTGGCCTTAGATAGGTTGCTGTTTATCACTCCAATAAAAGGATTGCCACACTGACCCATCTTACAGGGCTCTGGTAGGGATACTGTATGTGAAGCACTTTGAAGATAGCAAACGAACTAAATGCTAGTTGTTATTACCAAGAGAAAGTTGAAGAAGGCACTGAACAGAGGAGAATTCAGATAACAGTCCTGCCTCCAATGTTAGCTCTGCTGTATCTGAATGCTTGTTGAACTTCATGGGCTAAACTCCCATATATTATGCAAAATTCGTCCTTCTTACCTTCCCCACAGGTAGTTTATGAGCCTCAGTAATTCTAAAGGGTTTCAGACATGAAAGTTGTTCTCGAAGTACTAAGTGCTGTTACCAGCAGGTTGAGCAGCATTTCCCCCCACAGATAACAAAGAGCTCTAATATTTGTTTTATATGCAAATCTAGACAGCCTTAATTAGTGATACCTCACCTTTATAATCACATTTTCTCTGTGATTTTGCTAACACTTGCTCAAAGAATGTAATTTTTAGCCTCTGTAATTAAACATTTGTGAGTGTTTGTACTTGATGATGTTTCTACAGGAAATATGGTGAAGGCAAGAGAGGGACTCCTGGAATCCTGCCTTTCTCTTTGATTGCCTGAATATACCATTCTAGAATATAGTATGTAATCCTACACAAAATTAGGTTTGTTTAATGCTTCTCATGGAACTGGACTCTAAATGTGATATTTTTTGAAAAATCTGGCCACTTCTGGATTTACAGAAGGCCCTCTTAATATAAATCCCGTGAGCGGGGCTCTGTATATACTTGGGGATCACCAGGGCTGTCCCAGTGAAATTATGGGGGCAGAAGCCTCTGCTGTGTGAATATCTTGGAGAAAAAGCTTCTCCCTTTCCTCTTGGTAGGAGGCCACAGACGCAGCTTAGCAGATGGCTGGTGATTGGGATCAAGAGCCCACCAATCTCCTCTGACTGCTTGCGGCAGAGACATCTTTGTCAAAGGGGAGGGAATTCAGAGGAATGCTGGACAGTAAAAATATAAATGGGAAAAACTGGATCAGTCAGATCTCGATCATTTATTGTGCCATTCTGGTGCTGCTCAGCTTATGATGATAAGACACCAGAAGAGGTTGTACAGCAGAAAAGTTTTTATTTCCTTTGGCAGAAAAATGTATTGGCCTGCACTTGGCTAAAAGTTCTTGTGCCAGCAGCAGTTACTAGGCAAAGGTGGCCTGCTGCTCTTCATGACACTATGCATGTTACACACAGGACTCTGTATGTTGCTTGAATCCACTGGGAGGGAGGGGGCTTCAGTTCCTTTCCCCCTTGGATACAGTTTCCTGCCCTCTTAAGCTCTTCTGGTCACCAAACCCAGTGAGCAATGAAATTCCCCATTTTCTGGAAGCCTGAGTGCTGGAGGCAATTAAGGAAAGCCGACATTGACACACATTTTTAAGAATTGTGTGGGGTTTTTCTAATGGATTCGAATGCACAAGGCCCTAGACAGTAGCTGCCAATCAGAACAGACAATAATGGGCCTTATGGACAAATAGTGTAACCTGGTATGAGTCAGCTTCCTATGTCAAGCTCTGTGTTAATATAGAGAAAAACACAGCTCTTTATGGCAACCCCTATATGCCTATTGCACTTAATACAGAGACTTGAGTACATGGTGGATCCAGGATCCCAGAGCATGAGGAGTTTCAGGTTGCAGATCAGCACAACACATAAAACATCCCTGCAGACCACCAGCTAAAGGAGGGGAACTCACCAGACCAGCAAAGGAGCTTCTTGCGCAAGAAATGGACAGAGTATCTCTTGTGATGTCCTGCATCAAGAAGTCTCCATTACCATCCTCTGCTAACAGAACCGTTTCATTGGAAATGCTGGGGTCCAACCTGGGACCTTCTGTGTGGAAAGCCTGTGTTGGACTCTTGAGCTGTGCTTCTGGCCTCCTATTCTCAGCAATAGAGTAGGGAAGGTCATGTGGGAAGAGTAAACCACCATGTGTTTATTTATTATATACCGTATTTTTCTGTGTACAAGACAATGGTTTTTTCCCCTTATACACAGATTTATACAGTAAGTTTTGGGTGAGCTGGCTGCTCCTAAGTCACCGAATGCCGGACCCAGGACCGCAGAGCTGGCTGGAGAGAGAGGCAGTGCTGAGGCAAGGAGGGAGCTTAGCTGCGCTCTAATCAGCTGAGGATCAGCTCGCTGGATCACCCCAACAAACTCAACAACTTTTTGGGTGATTTCCCCAAAAAGCTGAACAACTTTAAAACACTGACTTCTTAATTTTGGGCTCCCCAAAGTAGAGGTCATCTTATACATGGGGTCATGTTATACCCGGAAAAATATGGTCCTTGAAGTATTTTACCCCATTCTTCAGCCCAAAAAAGGCTCCTAGAGTAGTTCTGCAAAGATAAATAATAAGGCAATCTCTATTCTCAGGCTTACCATATAAAAGACATGTCACAAAAAGGAGGAGTGGGAGGGAGGAGGCAAACAAACGCAACCACTAGTTCTCAACTACAAAGTTCTTGTAATGACCAGGAGGAATAGCAGCAGTTCAAGGAGAGGCAGAGTTAACAGTAGCTGGTCTTTCAGCTAAGCTAATAGAATGAACCCGCTTCCCTTTTCTTCCTCCCGCTGCTGCATCCTAAAGAAACAGGCTATCTTTCTGGTTTGAGCAAGGAGACGACTCGACTGCTTATTTTTGTATTTCACTTTCTATGCCCTGCCTTCCTGTGATAAAACCCAACTGAAGATGGTTCCCACCAAAAAAAAATAGCTTTCACTATTCCTACAAATATTGAAAGATGTCTTGAGATGTGGGGACCTTGGCTTTCTTAAGTGGTCTATGGGCAAGTTCACCCACACCTAAATACATCCACCTCTAAAACCAGAACAAGTCTCGTGCCTCACAGGGTTTTTTTTTATTGAGATGAATGAGGATTGTTGTAAACCATTTTGCCCATTAATGGTGCCATGTAAGCAATCATTGAAAGCAAAGCTATGCAAATAGAGAGAGTAGTATGAAATTTATGATTAATAGTGCTGACATCTCATAATTCATAATGTATAGCAATTAGGTGTAGGCACCGTTCAGTTATAAATTTCATAACAGGAAATGGCATAGTTGTAAACACTTATTTAAATGCAGCCAATTTCCACTCTCAGATGGCACTTGACAAGAGGGTATGAGCTTAATAATATGATTTCCTTCCTTTCCTGAGACAGAAACCAGTTTCTCAGTTCAGTCATTGAAAGAAAGAAGTGCTGTTTATTGGAACAAAAAGGAAAGGCTATCTAATTTTAAACTCCTGCTACATTAAAAATTATTCCAACTCCTTAAAAAAACAACAACCGGGAACTGTATTAGTGAACAGATGTTTCCATTGAGCTGTCCACAATGGATTCCCTGGGTTTTTCTTCCTGGATAGTTAACATTTAATTTAAAGCTAAGCTACCTGAGTAAATAGTCAGTTTGGTTCAATGTGCACTATGTTTTATTTGTCAACTCTGAATATCATCTGCCATTCAAATTGCCAGGTCCCACTGCAGTTTCCTAGTCTTGATTAACTTCATAATTTATATTGTAAAAAGGCATCCAAATGACTTGATTTGTGCAATGAAGATAGGGCATTAACATTCTTTCTTTCCTTCTCCGTATGGAAAACCTCAGTTTCTGCAAGAAGAAATGACCCATGAGACTTTTAAACTGATCTTTGTGAAGATGTTTAAAGTGAAATATTCATGGTGTTTGTTGGAATAATAAATTAAAAATTTGCCAACAATTTGCTAACCTTTATTCTGATATTCATAGAATTGTAGAGTTGGCAGAGACCATGAGGGTCATTGAATCCAACTGTAAGGCAAGAGTCTTTTTGTCCAATGTGGGACTTGAACCCACAACTGTGAGATTAAGTGTTTCATGCTCTACAGACTGAGCTATCCACTTAGCAGGATATTATTCTCAGACGGGTTCTCTCCAAAATCCATTGTGATGAGGTTTGCTTTACACATTCTTGAGAAATAATTCTTTATTCTAATACTATGCTGGCACTGATATTCGGTTCAGAATGTTTACCCAATATTTATTTAGTTCCATTGGGTTAATTCTGCCCCTTCTTCCCCATTGGCGTTTATACTTTTCAAACAACTGGCTGATATTCTGCAACAACTGTATGGTGTTGGAAGGAGCATTTCTTTGTTGTTTTATCAATTGCATTACCTTTTAGTTTCCAAATTGAATTCATTTCTGCCTGTGTTTCGAATCTTTTCTCACTAGCCATTTCATTTCCCCCGCTTTATTTGTAACATTTCTTCCAGCTTCCATAGCACCTGCATTTATGCCTCCTTCCAAATACTGATGGTGATAGAGACTGACCTTAACATTGGTTTCATTATACCCTTATGAGGTATCTGTGGTCAGCTCATTGTGTGTGTAGTTCTTTTCATTCCTCTTTATTCTTTTTTATTTTAACCTGCGTCACACTTTTCCTATCCCTGCCAGTTAAACTCGGGGCTACAACAAAGAGCCTTGGAAAGGGTGTTAATTCATCAGTCTGTGCTAGGAATAGAAGTTGTACTGATGGAATGGGGATTGCCTAAAATATCCTTTTTTTGCCTCTGAGAGCTGTTCTACCCATTACTCTTAGCACATGAATGCCACCAGCAAATGTCCTCCAGCGTAGAGTCAGAATAGCTTAGAAAACAAGCCACATTATTTCCGATTTGGAGTGGGAGGGCGAGCAATAACTTTGCACAATTTTTTCTGCAGCATTTTGTACTAGTTGGAGCTTCTGAATGTTTTTCAAAAGTGACCCCATATAGGATGTGCTATAGTAGTTCAAGCTAGAAGTAACCAAGGCAGGTATCACCATGGCTAAGTTGTGGGTGGTGCAGGTCACTGCTGTCAGTTACTGCTGTTCAATTCTACAAGAGAATATACTCTACCCACTGAATTTCAGCCGAAGAGCAGTCAGAACCTTGTGGATCATTTTTCTCATGGAAGACCTTATCTGTTAAAGAACCCACCAACATCAGGCTCAACTCCAGATACCAAAAAAATCACCCCAAGCGGCAGCTTGTTAAGTCTGACAGTTCTTCCACTTTATGAGTCTCCAGGACACCTCTTCCAATTACATCAGCTTCTGAATAGTGCATGGATAGCATAATCAAAAGCAGGAGTGGACAATAGTGTGGCCTGCAAATGTTGTTGAACCACAACTATAATCTTTGACCATTGGCCGTTCTGGCTAGATCTGAAGGGAGTTGGAGTCCAAAAACACCTGGAGAACACCATATTTTCTACCCCTGGTCAGGAGAATACAACCATTTCTTTTGTAGCAATCAGAACATAAAATGGATGGCTTATGTTGTAAATTTCATTGGGAGAAAAGCAATGACAAACCTAGACAGCATCTTAAAAAGCAGAGACATCACCTTGCCAACAAAGGTCCATATAGTTAAAGTAGTGGTGTATGGAAGTGAGAGCTGAACCATAAAGAAGGCTGATCGCCGAAGAATTGATGCTTTTGAATTATGGTGCTGGAGGAGACTTTTGAGAGTCCCATGGACTACAAGAAGATCAAACCTCTCCATTCTGAAGGAAATCAGCCCTGAGTGCTCACTGGAAGGACAGATCCTGAAGCTGAGGCTCTAATACTTTGGCCACCTCATGAGAAGAGAAGACTCCCTGGAAAAGACCCTGATGTTGGGAAAGATGGAGGGCACAAGGAGAAGGGGACGACAGAGGACAAGATGGTTGGACAGTGTTCTCGAAGCTACCAACATAAGTTTGACCAAACTGCGGGAGGCAGTGGAAGACAGGAGTGCCTGGTGTGCTCTGGTCCATGAGGTCATGAAGAGTCGGACACAACTAAACGACTAAACAACAAATGTTGTAAATGTTTCATTCGGTCTCCACTTCATTCTATTTTGTTTTCTGGCTATCACTTCATGGTTTGGCTCAGTTTACCTGGTTGTGAGCCAGCACTTTAGGCTTTTCTTTCTTTCTTTCGTAATGTCCGTCTCTGTACTAGCTGACTAGATGAGACCATGGATAGCACTGGAAGCCCTGGCTCCAAGGGAGACGGAACGTAATTGTAGCAGATGAAGGGCACTCTCGGTAGCTTTTCCAAGAGTGCTGAGATTAGACAGTAATCATTGTTTGTAAGCAGACAAGAAGAAGGGGTAATCAGCCTGCCAGCCCTGACTGATTATTCATGGAATTAATGTGAGCAGCTTAAGAACTTGCACTTGTGTAAAGCCGCACAATTATCAGCAAACCTTCTCTCCTGGTGCAGCAGCACCAAGCAAGGAAGACCCATCGCCAGACAGGTGGAAAACTATGGCTGCAGAAAATGCTGAAGAGTTGAGATCTGGATCATTAAAAACTATATGTTAGTCCAGACCAAGTGAGTGTTCTGAAATCAATGGGCTACATTCGTCATGGCCAACTTAAGTCAGGCAAGCACATGCTCTCCTTTAGAGACTTTTTACCACAAAGCTTTTCTTTATGCTTTATTGAAAATAAAGAAAATATTACAAACAAGCATATATATAGTCGAAACAAAAATACAAAAAAAGTTAACAACATTTGTTCTCTAGACATTCTTCTTAATTCCCCAGTGACTTCCTGCCACCCCATCATGTATTTACTGTCTATTTTACCTGGTGCACTGTTTTAGATCTTGCTTTTCATTGCTTTCATGATTCCAAAGCTGGATACACAAAGAAAAACAAAGGGAACACCCTGTGGTACCTGTAGACACAAAGTTCCTTATAACTGATTTATCTCTCCCCGCCCCCCACCGCCTCCACATGAAAGTTTGTTTAACTCCAGGAAATTTAGTGATCTTGGATTTGTCCATATTGTCATGATCCGTGATCCTGGAACCTTCCAGTGCGGAGTAACCAACTTGAATGAGGATGAGACTCGAGCTTCTTCTTTGGAGGGGAGAACTGGCAGACCCATATTTGTGTCCCTTCCAGCCAGCGGAAACAGCCCTTCCACCATTTCTGGACTCGGACTATGAGACCCCTGATGTACAGTGGTACCTCGGGTTACATACGTTTCAGGTTACAGACGCTTCAGGTTACAGACTCCACTAACCCAGAACTAGTACCTCGGGTTAAGAACTTTGCTTCAGGATGGGAACAGAAATCGTGCTCCAGCGACGTGGCGGCAGCTGGAGGCCCCATTAGCTAAAGTGGTGCTTCAGGTTAAGAACAGTTTCAGGTTAAGAACAGACCTCTGGAATGAATTAAGTACTTAACCCAAGGTACCACTGTATTTCCATCTCTCCAGCTTCTCAGAGACTGTAAAATCAGGCAAGGGCCTTTAGCAACTTATCCAACTTCTTTAGGGAAACAGAGATAATTACATGGCAGGTCTTTTCAGCCAATATAAGGTTTCACCTCCCTGCTGGGACAGCATTTCCTTTCCCTAGCAAAAGAGAGCTTCTGTCAACATGACTGAACCTATTCCAAGGTCCTGTTCTGGTTGCCCTCTGCATAAGAGAGGGAACTGCCATGATCTGCCCTTGGCAGCCATACCTTGACATATTGCTTGCCTTGACTGGTGTTTACTTGCTTGGTTTGACCCAGATTTGACTTCACCAGATACTACCTCTTCTCCATTGAGCCTCAAGCTCCCATAGAACAGGATACACATTGGATGTGACATAGATCAGAGGCTTTTACAGACATCCCTATTGTGTCTAGTTCAGTTTTCTGTGGCCTTAGAGACAGAGTGGATTTATTGATAGGAAACAGCCCTTGCTGTGGAAGAGCAGGAATTGGTTAGAGTTTCCCCAATTCTTTTTGTTTTTGTTTTATTTTAGATCAGCTCAAAATGTTGGCAACTAATATTCTTTGACAAGTCTTGGAAGATACCGCACATGAGGCAGAAGCAAGGGAAATTTCATAGCTTTCTGAGAAATGTTGCAAATAAGCTTGGAATCTCATCTGTAATTATGAACACTGCAGGTAGCCATGAGTGCAATTCAGTCATGATACAAAGCCAAGCACCCAGCAAAGCAGCTCAGTGTTCCTCTGATGTGAAATGAGAAGAGCAATTAAATAACCGTCTCTGAAAATTCAGCCAGAGAATCATCCAGGGGAAAGGAAGGGCCTTTAAAAAAATGAGCAAAGAAAAGAATTAAAGACTGGCAAAGTGGCTGGAATGTCCCAGCTTAATCTCTGACCCTGTGGGGTTCATTGGTGGGGGTTCCCTCCCCCATTTGAAACTGCCTCTGTATAAACACAGCTGGAAACAACTGGAGATTTTGTAATTATTTGTTGCCAACTCAGACTAAGAAAATGCCATGGCTTAATTGCATATGTTAATTAATTTAAATGTATGCAGATTTAAAATTGCAAAGCATTGAGTCTAGGCATAAAAAATAAATAAAACCACAGAGTTTCAAATGAGCTGAGATATGTAAAAGACAATACAATCTGGTGGTTTTGGAATAGATCGGCATATAAGGAAAGATGAGTTACACTGAAAACTGCCTTATGCTGGCCCATCTAGCCTAGTATTGCCTATGACGACTGGCAGTGGCTCTCCAGAATTTCAGACAGGAGTATTTTCCCAGCCCTACCTGGGATGCCAGGACTGATTCTGGGACCTTCTGCATGCAAAACAGATGCTTCATTGCTGGGCCATGACCCTTCCCGCCATCTGAAATAATAATGTTTGGTGGTTGAATGTTACAGCTAGTAATGGAGATGCTGCAACAGAGGAGTAACTGGAAAAGTGGGCCAGTGCTGTGGAGTCATCCCCCCATCTCACTGCTGGCTACCAGGACAGTGCAGAGCTGGGACAGGGTGGCAGTGAGATCAGGACTGTTTGGGCTCCACTGATGTACCACAAACCCTTACTCCTGACCGAACCTGGTAAGCAGCAGTGGAGAACAGCTCTGCATGAGCTTCTCCTGCTGCACTAACTGAGGTAGTTCAGGACACACACGTATCTTCTACCAAGACATTCTCCTACTGTTGTTGGAACAGGTTGAAATGCAACAGACCAACAACAACTCTCAAAATATATTTGTTTAGAATGCTGTAGCTCAGTTGTAGAATACAGTGGTCCCTGGGTTTACGAACAGCCCTGTTTATGAACTATTCAGTTTACGAACTCCGCAAAACCAGAAGCAGTGTTCTGGTTTGCAAACTTTACCTTGGTCTACAAATGGAAGCTGAACGGTGGGAGGGCACCGGCAGCAGGAGGCCTCATTACGGAAAGTGCGCCTTGGTTTAAGAACGGATTTGGTTTAAGAACATACTTCAGGAATGGATTAAGTTCGTAAACTGAGGTACCACTGTACATGCTTTGCGCACAGAAAGTCCTGAATTTGATCCCTGGCATCTCTAGGCAGGGCTAGGGAAGAACAGCCCCACAAAGGCCTTATGTGTAGATACGTATGATAAAAAGCATATGAAGAAGTAGTCCCCAAGTACAAATTTGGGCTACAGGTGACTCTTGGGTCTGAAAGGGATGAAGGCTGTTGGTGTAGATAATACTTAACTAGATGAACCAATGATCTGACTCAGTGTAAGGGTGCTTCCTATGTGCATGGCAGCATTGGATGAGGATGCAAGTCTTTTCTTTAAAATGAAGTGTGTTTTCCTAAGGCAGCATGTTTGGTTACTGGGAGAGGCGAGAATCTCAGTACTGTCAAGAAAGCACAACATGGACATCTTCAGCTGGACTGACCTCTATTGCATTGGAACAAATTGGTTAACTGAGTGAAGAAGGAATACCATTTTTCTCACCATCTCACACTACTTTCACAACATTTCCCAAAGCTCAAGATGGGAGACCAATTACAATCTCAGTGCATCAAAAAATAATAATAATCACACACAAGATCACAGCAGTCAATGAGTTATGTGAAAAGTTAAGCAATAGTGCTTAGTATCTAAATTTACTCCAAAACCAATCAGTTTTGCTTCTAGAGAGATGTTCAGGCCACAGGTGGACAAACTTCTTCAGCTGAAATGTAATAACTTCTAATGGTCTTTATAGATTACCACATCCTCATAAAATGCATCCTGCAGCAAACCTTTACTACCAAGTTCAAAGAACAAGAGGCTTAATATAGAAAAATATTCTTGAAGGTACAATAATTTTGGTTAATGTTTTGGATTATGATCCATCTGGCTTTCCCTTGCGTTTGTGCCTTATTATCACCATGGTCAGGTCTTGTGCCTGGCAAAACTCTTAACGCATGTATCTGCTGAAGGACCCTTATCTAATCTCTGGAGAGTGGGTGTGTTGAGGACTTTGGGGTGAATAAGTAGCCATGCTCCCTCAAGAGAGACCACTATAAATCTCTTGCCCACAAAAACACAGAGCCAGCCAGTAATTACTGCGCTGTGTTCATGATCACAGTGTTTGAGCATCTGTGTGGTGTCCCTCTGGCTCTGTGCGATTGGTGTCACAGTTATTTCTGATGGATTGTTAATACATCCCCAACTTCTAGCAGCTGGGCTAATAAAAGTAATAAGTTCCTTGGTAGTCAGCTTGCACGACTGCAAGATTTATGGCTCCAAACAGCGGAAGAGCAGCTGGGGAAGTGGAGAGGCTTCTCAAAGAAACTTTAATATTTCAAGCTCTTGCCTTCCTTCGCTTCTATTTTCCCTTCTCCGAGGAAAGGATCAAATTAGAAGACCTAGTGGGAACAGAAAGAGATGTTACATTCTCGTTGCACTAGTCGGGGAGCTGTCAGCAGCCCTTATTAGAAACCTCTGTTTCCGGCCCATTATAACTGCTGTGTTGAGTTAACTCCAGGCAAAAGTTTAACACAGTGGGTCCCCACCTGAGAGCAAGGATTTTAATTTAGCTTCACATAGGTTTTAATTTATATGAATTAAAGGAATGATGTGGAACAGTTCGGGCTCCTGCTTTTCACATTTAAAAAAAAACAACGCACCAGCTGGGTTTGCAAAAATAAAAATGAAGCATATTAATGTCCAGTGCCCAGCATTATGAAAATATTGAAAGAGCCTAATCTGTATTCATGTAATTTTAGAAATGTCAGTAACCTGCTGCACGCATAAAGAACAGGCCTTCCTTAATCATGGTTAAGAGATGGAGAGTTGTCCACAGAATGTCATGCTTCCTCTGCTTCTTGAAACAAATTTTCCCCTCCAACCTTAACATTAATTGTGGCTAATGCTGTCTGATGTTCCCACTTAAGTTGGGATGGCTGGTTTCCAATTCTAATCAAGTGGGAACCCTAGTTAGCTCTTCAGCGGCAGTTCATATCATCCTTGATGTACTGTGTACCCATAGTTGAGGCAAGACAGTTCAATCTGCTGTGAAGGAAGAAAGGGCTAGAAGGAGGGAATGCAGGGACTCTCAATTCATAAATCTCTCAACCATAGTTAAGAGGGCCTGCCCATGATGCCTGCACCAACACTTAGTGTTTAGGCTGAATAACAGCTACTAACATGTATGGCTGGAGAACCAAAGTGTCTTCTGCTACTGTTATCTACATACCTATTAGAACTGTGTGGTTCAGCTGTCTTCTGGAAGAAAATGCAGGCCAGCTTCATCTGGATGCCGTGGAGCAATTCTCCTGAAGCTGAACAATTGTCAGTTTTGCAGTTGATGCTGAAATGGACCCCCTGTCCCTTTAAGGGTCTTTGCAAGAGATGTATCAGAGTCCAGTAGAAGGGCCTTGGAAACCTCCATCTATGGTGGAGAGACATTAGCCCTGGCTTGGGAAGCTCCACGATAGAGACCAGAAGTGTTGCTGATTTATGCAGCAAGTGCTTCCAGAGCGGATAGCTTGCATTGTTAGCCCCTGCCTCCTCCATCCCAGAGTTAATCACTTTGCAGAGCTTCCAAGGTACACCAACTTTGTGTGCAGCTTAACAAGCTTTATTGGCAAAACTTGTCAGCTTCCTTCTGGTGAGCTAATCAGCATACACTTGCTCCAGAGCTAATGGACCTGTGGGTTTTAGCTATGCTGTTAAGTGTTTGCGCTCACCACTTCCTCTTTTAATTGCACAGCTAACAGCCTAATAGAATTTTCTGTTGCATATGGTTCTGCTTGTTTCCAAACTTGGCTGTTTTGAACCCAATTTTCCCAACAAAATATATTTAGCTCATTAAGGACTACTTGCATGCCAAGTCTCTGTTTCAGGAGTCAGCTGTTTTCTAGTTATTCTTAAAGCCAGGCAGCTGGCCAGGATCCTTTTTGCCTCCTCCAAAATGAACTTAGTGTGGATGGAACTTGCCTTCTAATGTCATCCACTTCACTGGTTGCAAAGAATGCTGCTCCCCCCCCCCCCAACATACACTATGTAAACTAAAACCCATTCCTTCTTTTTATCAGGGTTCAAGTGTGGGAAATGCCTACTCCAAAAAATGTAAGAATGTGCTCAAAATCAGCATAGTGTTGTAGGGAACTTGTGCAAATGAATTCATTACTTCAGGTAACATTTTCAACACGTAATCTTGTCAGATTCAGGTCTCCTGCCTACCTCTGAGCAATCAAATTATGTCGTTCTGAGCTGTAATTTTCTGATTTTCTCCTGCATGGTGTTATGGAAGCGAGGCATGAGAGAGTATGCAAGGCACAGAGATATTAAAGGCACACAAAACGCTGTCAAAAAACATGACTTCCCCACAGACCAAGCACATAAGCTGTTGCAGACCGATTATTTATAAAACTTGATATAATTAATTTGATTAATTTCAATGCACCACAAAATGGGGAGGCCCCTACGCCACAGCAAGCCCCTTTAGTTTGTCTAATCACTCACTGTGGCTTCTGTCTCTTTCCTTCCCGTGGTCATTTGTCTCACCTTTCTCTGCTCTTCATCCTCTCGTGCAGTTTCTTAAGGATACTTCGTCCAAGGCTGGTCCCACCATGAGGCAGAGTGGGGTGGCTGCCTCGGGCAGCCGCCTCCTGCTCTTCCACCTGAGCTCCCCAACCATTTCCCTGTGTTGCCGCATGGTCTGATCTAGTGTGGCCCTGCTGCCTCAGGTGTGGTGGAGAATGCCACCCCATCACCAGTGCGGAAGTAAGGTTCAGCTGCCCATCCAGTTAGCTTCTGTATGTAGAAGGAGCCATCTTGTTCTTTACTTGAGGAAGCAAAATGCCTTGGGCTGGCCCTGACC